ATTTCATCTCTTTCACACACACACACACACACACACACACACACACACACACACACACACACACACACAAGTCTAAGAGTACTTGTAGAAATTGATTCTAAGAAGTGTGACATTTCTGCACCACTAGTGGCATTAAACGGAATTACAAACATTCCTACCACCTCTTCTGCCTATTCCCTATCTGCCATTGCTGAAACAGAATTCTTCAGGAGGCCAAACTACAGATGGCTTACTTCGAGTCTCTGCTCATTAGACTGGGAGTTTAACATAAAAAACCTACACATTTCACCCTGAAGTCTGCATGCAAAAACACCCAACTGAATGCTGGATTGCTGACACTGAGAGAATCCTCCTGTCTGAGTGAAAATAGTGCAGGATGATGATTCATTTCCCTTCCAGAGTGTGTTTGCATGAGCTGAAAAGTCTGCTGCTATGGTGTGTGGGTGGTCAGTTACCTTTTCAGCTTGTGTGTGCTCATCTCTGCAAAGCTCCGCCTCAGACTCCTGCTCTATATATGGCACATTAATCAACCAGGCAGCGGTACGGTCCAATGCACTGGGGTTCACTGGGGATGGGGCCTGTGGGACACACATACAAACACACACATATGCATGAATAAACTGAAGATGAAACCAGATACACTCACTCACACACACAAAGTCGTCATGCCAGGGGCATCGCATTCTCAACAGGCAACATGGACATGATGACATTTAGCATGACATAAGGCTGAATAAAAAAAGAACATGTATGAGAGCATGGTTATATATAATAGCATTCTAAGCTTGGATACTTTAGAAACTTAGTTCATGCAAATTGTTTATTATGACATCATACAATTGCCATTATAGTCCTCAATTATACTGCAAAAAAACTACTTTTTCATCAGCATTTTGTTGTTTTCCAAATAAAAATACGTAAGCATCCTGAAAATAAAATACATTTATCTCAGAAGTAAATTTAAGAGAACATTTTCAGGGACTGTATCTTGAATTTGAAATCATAGCTCTGAACTACATATTTCCCAACAAAAATATTGAAACATCCTTTATTTACAAAATAAATTTACTTAAGAAGTGAAAATATGCAAGGCATTAAAGATTTGTTTTCAGAGAAAACATCTTACATTAGGGTCGTTTTCAAATTGTTGTGTGTTTTAAGCATCATTTATGTTAGATTTATACTTGGAGTCAACATAAAAATGAAAATGTACTATTTTCTAAATGCATGTTATTGATCTTATCATGAACAATTCATCCATGCATGTTTAAATTTTGACCTCATAATTTTTAATTAAAATGTTAATCTTTCTTATAATCAACCTCAAGCTTGCATTCCGATCTGCCTCCATCCAGTCAACAACCGATCGATAGAACCAAGTCCCTGCCCTACCTTTTTTTTTTCAATACTCTGTTTCATTCTGATGTACTTCACAATACAGAAGGAAAAGATCTGACGCTACTGCCGTTTCATTGCGTTTCATTTAAAACACAGACAATTTGCCAATGAGGTTAGAAAAACAACAGTTCAGCTAGATCTTTCAGCAAATGTATAATGGAACTGATTCTAAAATCAACTACAGTATTCACAGAAAGTCCACAGATGTGACTTTCACAGTCAGAGAAAGAGCCTGGAGGTGCTCTGCGATGTAATAAAAGTGTGCGCAACATGTGGTTTCCATAGAAACGCTTCCAGCAATAACTTCAAGCGATCAATCAAATCCCAAGAGAGAGAATAATGCATTGTGGATATGGGAAATGCCCTTCCTGTCCCCTTCCTGTCCACTTCATTGTCAAATCGTTGAGAAAATGACTGCCAGTGGCAACAGTCAATGTCAGGGGGTTGGTGATTGGTAGCAAGCGAAGCCCTTTAACTCAGACTTGCCGCAAGATATATTAAAATTACTAGGTTAAGATAAAGATACATGATAAATGATACAGATTTTCCTGAAACAGATTTGCATGAAGCAGAAATTGTGATCGTCTTTTCTTCCGTTTTAATGTATACCCGCGTTTATTTTTTCCATCAGGAATTCATAGGATTGTTTGCTATTTGGCACATGAAATCTCAAAAAAAAAAAAAAAATTGGGCATGAAAA